GATCAAAACTTGACTTACAAATGTTAATCTGAGCTGCGATGTAATACCTCACTTGTGCAACCATTAGCTTTTCAAAATAATGAAGCGTTTGATTGAAACATTTAAGGTCCCCATCCAACATTGAGCAATGACTACTGAAAAAAGTATTTTTTAGAACTCGCAGGTAATTAGAATCATAATAAATTGTTGAAAACAGGGTAGTTTTTCAAATCAGTTAAGGTGAAATAAAAGGCTTGTCATAACGAACAAAGCAACATCAAATCAAGTGTGTTAACTGCAGAAGCTAGGAAAAGTTGTATCAAAATTGTAACGGTTCGTTGTCAAAGCCATCAGGGTATCCTATAGCAATCAAGAGACGTACAAGTACAATTTTATAATTTAAGTAAACCGTAGTTGGTGATATCCGAATGACATGAAAGCAAAGCGACAAAAAAAACTTACGAACAACCACGAACTGTACTGTTGTCACCAACGGCGAATGTTTCAGCTGTAACTACTGTAATCAACATCAAAGACAGCAAAACTGTTAGAAACATTCCTGAAATAAAGCGTCATTATGAATTATTGATTTCGCCATTTACGTACAAATTTTATTAATAACGACAGACAACGATACCGACAATACTGTCTGTCAAGTGAACATATTATACACGCACCACTGCTTGTTGTTTGCAGTAGAACCATTACATACATGTGACCGAAGTTCATATTTGATGTTCCGTCAGCACCAGAAACAAATCACCGAACAGTTTTTGTTTTCGAAAACTTCCCCACCTTCTAGAAATTTATTTTCATTTACTGGTACTTTTTGTGCTGACGAAACTCTTCATGCCAGCCACAATGAGTGTACAAACAGAAATGTGCGAAAATTAGTTCACTAATGTCATGGCGAAAAATCGACATATATATCCCCATCATCGTGTCCCTACATTCTCTAAGAGTCCCACTTACCAGGGAAATGTCAAACTCCCTCGAAAAAGCAAATAAACAATCAACCACTCTCCACATCATCCTCTTCGTCTCCTTCTCCCTCCCTCGCAAGAAATGCTCAAAAGCGGCCAGACCAGAGATGTTGCCGATGCAACGGTGGCAACTGACGCGCCACAATTGATAAGAACTATCGCAACAATAACAACGACCGGCAACACAAGTATTCCACACATATTTATACATTGCTTCATATATATACATACCACTGCAAAAATCAAAAACGATTTATCGTCACTTAATAAGACGGGCACACCTTTGCTCCTACAAAACGCAATAAGAAGTAAACTGCCAAGGTGCTCAAGCAGACCTAATTCCATCCACTACACAGATAGCAAGCAGCTGCGTACTCTTGTTTATATAATTGATAAAAACTGTTCGCAAATAACGGGGTACAAAATAAAAATTTTAAAAACCTCCATCGGTTAAAATGGAGTGCAATTATAACTTAGAAAAACAATAAATGAATAAAATCAACGAAATATATAATGTAAAAAAATTCATCAGTTGTTATTGTAGTCACTAAAAACATAAATGAAGGAATTAAATACAGGAGATAGTTTTTAGTACGAGAAGGTGATTATGCTATTTATGATTATGTTTTATGCTATTTTTATCATAAATTTTACTTTAAAGGCAACATTTCACAACATTTTTTTTATTCGTATACCGGTTATATATACTTTAGCAAATCAAAAGTTTGAGATCGCAGAACATATCTCACATTGGGACATGTGAAAAAAGATAAGACACTGATTCCCCATTATGAGTGCGACGAATTGCTTCTGCCAAAATCATAGAAATGTCGATGCACTGAAATAAAACAGCAAATTCCTTAAATAACATTACAAAAAAAAAATTTGTTTAGAATTTTTACCTGGATTTTTGGACATCTTTTCATATTCTCCTCCTGAGGTATTGTGTTCGTTACCACTACAGCTTTAAAAGCCGAATCTTTCAACCTCTCAATTGCTCTCCCAGAAAATATACCATGAACACAAAAGGCATAAACTGATTCCGCTCCTGCCTCCACCAGCCTTAACGAAAAAATCTTGTTATGTAATCTTAGGTCGGTTTATTAGGCAGTTATACTTCAAATATAACAAAACCGCAAATAAACTCTTTGCACTACAATTAAAGGGAGAATGTTTCCTTTGTGTCCTTTAATTTATAAGAAACCTTTAGAAATGTCTGGCATCCCGCGCCTTTGAATCACATTTCAGTGAAAGGATTTTCAAAAAAAAATGCTACAACCCTTCTCCTTTAGTTATATACATATTCTCAAGCCTTATGAACTCCTCCTCCCCCATTTCGTACGTCAATCTCCGTTACTCATAAAAAAGGATACAAATTCACAAAAAACAACCAAACGAATTACTGTTGCTTAAATAAAATGCAGTGCTTATAAATGACACTTAGCGTACAGTTCAGCTATGTTACACTGATTTTCTTTATCATAAAAATCACCCTTCATCCAAACAAATGCAATTCTGGAAGCAAAAATTCTCTACTGCAGTTACCAGCCAACTCTCTCTTAGCTTCTTATCCAAAACAGCTGCTTATTATTGAAAAACAAGTTTTCTTATCCAAATTATATACTTTTAATATGTAACTTCTGAATGCATATATCAAATTCCACTTCTGAACTTGTAACTTTTAACTGGCCAAAAAACAACTTTCGACTTCAAATCCGAAAAAGCTTAATCCTTCTGCTCTCCCCAAAACACAGTTGATAAGTGGGTTAATTCGCAATTCTTATAATAAAAATTTTAAAACACCTCACACTTAAAAAATACTACAAAATATAAGAACAAAGCATACTTTTTAGCCGCTAAACATATAGTCCCACATGTATCAGCCATGTCGTCTACCAGAATGGCAACCTAAAAAATGCTTTTTCAATTAAGCAAGACCGAGAACTTATTCACAAATGTATCTAACTAACCTTATCACGAACATCGCCAACAAGCGTCATTTTCTCCACCTCATTTGCACGCTTTCTTTCCTTGTGGATTAAAGCGAAATCAACGTTTAAACGATCTGCGATTGATGTCACCCTTTACAAAGAAAAGGAAAATAATTAAAAAAGTAAAGATCAACAGAAGCAAAATCAAGATGGTATACAAGGAAAAGATGGAAGGAAGCAAAAGCGTCGCCTGAAAACCTTTTAGCACCGCCTGCATCTGGAGAAACGATAACTGACTTCTGCCAGTTGGGAATAGATTCCTTAATATATTTTAAAATTGCGGGTTCTGCATAAAGATTATCTACTGGTATATCAAAAAATCCCTGAAAAAAGACAGGAATGATTTAATGCTGCGTAAACATATGTATTAGAAAATTCAGTGTAAAACACCTGAATTTGAGATGCATGAAGGTCCATCGTTATTATATGATCAGCCCCAGCAACTGATAACATATTTGCAACCAGTTTTGCACTGATTGGAGCCCTCGACTTATCCTGCATCGTGCCAGTTGAGGTAAACAAGAAATAAAGAAAATGAAAAACTCAACAAAGTTGAAACAAATGAATAAAACAGAAAACATTTATTTCCGAAAAGAAAAATAACTTTTTTGTCTTGTCGAGCATATGGGAAACAAGGTATGACGGCGGCAACGCGGCATGAAGATGCAATTTTGCAGGCGTTGATCATGATTAGAAGCTCCATCAGATGATCATTAATTTCTCCACAAGCGCTCTGGATGATATAAACATCCTCACCTCTGACACTTTCCCCTATCTCTACATTCGTTTCCTAAACAGTTTAGGAATTATGACCACAAATTTTACTCCACAAAGAATCAAGTAAAATATAAATAAAAAATTAAAATTCTTAAAACAATTAGACTTACTCGATTGCTGAATTTTTTTAATGATGCTTTGGAAACATCAATTTGTAATCTCTCGCAGATACGCTGGGTGAGATCAGGGTGAGAAGAACCCGAGAACACCTACCAAAATAATAAATCAATATAAACCTACACAGAATCAATAGATCCTTCTCTCAATCGGTAACAGATGATTTCTGACTACGTGTCCTCTCAAACAGTTTATTTTGATTAAACTATTCTGAGGAAATTAAACCAGTTTACAGCTCTCTGCATCCTAAACACCACAGTGTAAACTTTTAATCTTAAGAATTACACTTACCTTTATATTCGGCATTTTTGGTTCCCGCTCAACAAGCAACCCGTCTAATGGAGTATCTTCGGCCTGTTCCGTAAAATACCAAATGTCTGTAATCATAGCAAAACCTCAAAAGAAAAAAAAAAAAACAGAAACAAGTACCATTCAAATCTACATCGAATCAAAATCGAAATCGATAACCACAATTACCTAAAAAATAGAAAAAAGGAATTATCAAGTATATAAACTAACTCCAAAAACCATTCAGTTCTAAGTAAAATAGACATAAAAGTTAAACTTATCCGCTGTCCTGGAGGTCAGTTTAAAACAAGTAGCAAATCAAAATTGAAAAACCTCGCAGCCATACACTAGAGGCGCAGACGAAGAATGCAAATTAACGGCAAAAACAGATCTGTTTTCATCAATTCCCATCATAATGACACTTCCATTCATAAAGGGCAAATCTTCAGGATATGGACAAAATAAATGAATGGAGTGATTACCGAAAATTTCCAAACACTTACTCCTAAACTGTACAACCCAAAAATTCAAGTAATCCTTCAAGTACTTCCGGACATTCAGCAGTAATGACTAAGAAGTCACTCTTACATGAGGCCTCTAAAAAAAAAAAAATTTCTCAACTTAATGCTAATCATACACGCATCAAGCCAGTAAAGTCAAAAAACCGTAGCCCAAAAATGCATGGTAACCGCCTTACCTCAGCTTTGAATCGCCTCGAGAACCCATCTTATCAATACCGATTCTCTCGTATTTGTATACCAATTAACACTTTTTCAAACATCACAAATCACCACCCTCCCCAAGTTGCAAAGAACCGTGGCGCAAAAATGATTCCTTCTTGTTCGTCATGTTATAGCAGAAGTTATTTAAAGATTGAACCGCATTACACCTACACAATAAAGATGCAACAAAACACCTTTTGAGCGTTTTTTTTTTTTTAAA